GGGGGGGGGGGCGTTTAGTTCACACGTTTTCTCTTCTTTTTCATGTTCCCGATTCCAAACAAATAACCTGTAATTAGATCTTCTCCAAAGTTTTCCCCGCTGAAGAAGACGCCAGTTAATGGCTAATTTCATAATGAATCGCCTGTTGGAGGACCTAATCACACTATTTGACTCTCCACTGCAGGTCGTGTGCCAATACAGCGCAGCCCGTGGCTTAGTCACAGTGCTGCTGGACTCATTAACAAGGTGGTCGGGAGGTTTTCACACACACACACACACACACACACACACACACTCGCTCAAGGCCCGGCGCACGCGTAGAACAGTAGCTACGAGCAGGCTTCTTCTTTCTCTGTGCAGGGATTGAGAGGTTAAAAGATGCCCCCCGGTGCATTTGATAAGGCGCTCCCTGGTGGTGTGTGAGAACTGGGTCTCCTTTGATGAAGTTATCACCCGTCACTCAGCTCGCTCCTCCCGCGCGTTTTTTATTTTAAGTATACAAAAATATGGCCCGATCTTTTTTTTCTTTTTAAATCTTCAGTGTCTGTATGTATTACAAAGACAAAAAGGGCACACGCGTTTCTAGGTCTTGTCTCAGGTTGTGTGTGTGTGTGTGTGTGTGTGTCAGCATCTCTTTTTCCTCCAGCACACTCGCTTAATTATGACGTTCCCGAAATGGGCAGTTTGCTCTGACACCCCGCTTGCAGAATCACACAGCAGACAGACTTAAAAGAGCTCATTAGCTCTCTCTAAAGAGCTGTTTACTGCACACACACGCACACACACACACACACACACACACACACACAAGGTAATAGGCAGCTGTGTTGATGCAGATGGACGCAGAGTGTAATGAGAATGATTAGGCTCCTCTATGCGGACGCTAGAGGAGGAGAAGAAGAAGACGTGAGGGAAGAGAAGAGTGAAAAAAAGGAGTTGGAGGCTTTCAGACGGAGGTGAAAATGTCTGTTGGTCTCTCTCTCTCTCTCTCTTTCTCTCTCTCTCTCTCTCTCTCTCTCTCTCTCTCCCTCTCTCTCTCTTTTGCCTCCTTTATTCCAAACAAACGTTTGCTTGTTTTTTGTTGTCGCCCTCACGCTTAAGTTTGTCCATCCAAATGCGTCGTGAATTTCCCTCCCAGCTAATCGAAAAAAAAGGCAAGACAAATAAACTGGAAATAATTATTTTATTTTATTATTATTTATAATAAATAATTCTCCTGTTCAGTGGAGAAGGCTCCGGTTATATTGGGCTCCTCTGAATTCTTTTCATACTTCCAACCACCTCCTCCCGCCAAGAGAAAGAGCCTTGGAAGTTTTTGGAAATAAATGGAAAGGCATTCAGAGTCCTTGTAATGAGAAAACACAACGAAGGATATTTGTGTTTATTTTGATCCACGTTTTTTGTGTCAGTGAATTTCAAGGACTTCGGGGCTACCTTTAAACGCCTCTTTCATGTCGACGCCGCCCACCCCGCCGCCGCCGCATTATGTGACTTTGCTTTGCTCGTTGCCCTTGGTTTACATCACATTGAATTAGAGGATACACACGGATTCCAAAGTCAATCCTCCCTCCGTTCCCTTTCATATGTTTCGGAGCAGGAGCGGCGGGTTCAAAGCGCCCGGTTCAAAGTGTCCCTCCTCATTTGAATAACGTAGAGTAATCGCTATTACCTTATTTAAATAGTGCAAGTTATCATTTGGCCTTCATTTGCATTGCCGGGGTAATCACTGCGTCTCCGCATTAACCTCATTATAGACGAGATGAAAGCCCCGATGGAGCCTGACACACTCTTTTATATATGTTATCTTTATTAATGGCGGAATTAGAAGGATTCATGTTTCTTCAAATGGAGGACACGTCGCAGTTTGATGGAGCGTCAAGCAACGTGGGGAGAAGAGTGCGTGCGATTCACAAGAGCTTGTTTTTTTTGTTGTTTTTTTTGTCCTGCCGCCGCCCCCCCCCCCCTTCTTGTCTCCATCCTCCCTTCACATCTCCGTCCTTTTTCCTGTTCGCCTCCCTGCACTGAGAATGAAGCACAAACAGCGAGTGTGACGCTGTGAACAAAAAGCTGTGGACTGCAGTTTTTACAGAGATTTGTGAAATTACACACACTCACACACACACACGCATTCATACACCGAGGGCAGGGCGTCCGTGCAAGGCGCCAAACGGCCCACCAGCACTAACTAACATTCACACCCACGGCTCCACCGAGGGCGGCGGAGATCTGGGGTTAAGCTCTGTCACTGAGCCACATTCGCCCCCCAAAAATATGTTCTCTGCATTGACAGGACCTCGTTTGGATGAAGACTGCATGGCAAATTAGTTTTGACAGTCGGCAGCAATGCTACGATGGTACAGATTTAATGCTTGAAGCTTTGTCATTTGCGCTGTTGCAAAAAATACCGATATTTTAAGTCAGTCCGTTATATGGTTTTGTAAAATATGTACATTTTGTGTGTACGGTGCACTTGAATATTCCCAAAAACAAGGGACAAACAACTGACAATTTTGGAAAAATTGAAATATATAACTTTGCTTACAATGTTGCAATGAATTGCCATTTATCGCATGTTGACCCATGTGTCATGACGCGCACCATTGCACTTATACTTACCCTTTGTCACAAAGAGAGCATCGATGTGCAATGGCAGGTCCCAGAAAGTCCAGAAAACAAACAAAAACAAGCCGGGCAGAATGTGCAACACAAAGGCGGAGCACAGTAACTACACAGCACGGAGCAAAGGCACAAGGTGAAAGACCTGACGGCGCTGTCAGGATACCCGCGATCGCTAATGGCGGTCAATAGAACTCGATCGCTGAATGGCAGACTACTTGCCGCAGCATTAAATGACTCGCAAAGGTGGATGTTTCTGCAGAATCACGAGGCACACGGATTGACCCCGACACTGGAGACCAAAAAAAGACGCGTCCGTAGAGGAGCCTGGTCCCGGCCTCGGAGACGTTTTATCTATTAATGAGCCAACATTGAATTTACGGAACGTGCGCTGCCAAACGAGCGTTTTTGCTCCTGGCCACGGATCAAACGTGAGAAACAACCTGGCCTCCCTCCGCAACTTTGAAAGCTCTTGGACATTGTGTAGTTTGCTCTGTTGCCGTAAAAGATGAGCCTCATGGTGGTGTTTTGTTTAGTAGTAGAGGATAAACAACAGTTATTACTGCCACTATTGAATTAAAAAGTACCCCATTTTTTGCATCCTTTGATTCTGGGTTTTAAAAAGAAGAAGCACATGACACCATACTGGTGCGTGCAGACCCAAGGGTTTTGATTCCCAATAGTAAAGTAGCCTCCCAGCTAATACAATGCTATCTTCCGCTTAGCCTTTTGTGAGTAGCGTCCCCCCCGCTCAACACACTGGGGAAGTGAGGTAGGGCGAGCGTGGGGGGGGGGGGGGTTGACGGGCTCGCCAGCGCTTTCTAGACTCCCCTCGGCTAAAATGTTGTAAATTAACACAATTAGCGGATCGCCATTGTGCTAATTAGCCAGTAGCGACCACTGAGAGGTGGCTGGAGAGAAGAATCGGAGAGGGAATGGGAGTCTGGAGGATCCCACTCCCTCCTGTGTGGTTACCAAACGAAAAAGAGAGAGCAGCAGAGCGGTGAACGTGTATGTGTCTGTGTGTGGATCTGAATGGATTTCATTGTGCACGCCCGCGTCCCTACGTGCATCCCGCCAACAGTCAATAAGTCGGAGGAAGCAGCCTAAATGACACCGACATTATCCTTTATTTGTGTGCACTAAGTCAAATCAAACGGAAGTGGGATTGTAGTGGGGAGGGGGGTCGGGGGGCTGTGATTCAAGCCCCGTCCGGCCTTTGATGCCGCCGCGGCTTTGATAGTGAGACAACGATGGAGTCACTGCGCGGCTGTCAGTGTTTGCAGATGGCATTGGCTGGGATTAAAGGAAACAGTGGCTCTCCAGCCTCCCAAGGCAATAAAAGGGGAGAGCCAGGTGAGTGTGTGTCTGAGATGAGATGGAGCGAGGAAGGGAGGAGGGGAGGAGGGGAGGAGGCGACGGCGAGCACACAGGGAGTAAATAAGAGGAGGGGCTGACGCAAAGAAAAAGGGAATGAAAAAAGGGAGGCAAAGAGAAATAAAGAAGGGTCTAGGATGGGGGGGGGGCTTGTAAAATGGAAGCAAACAGAGGTACAAGGGGAGGGCAGGTAGGCATGAAGAAGAGAGGCAGACGGGAAGCAAAGAGAGCGGTCGAGAGAGAGAGAGAGAGAGAGGTCAAGGTGGAACCGTGCAGACAGGAACTAAGCTTGAGACACAATGTGTTGTAATTCATTGCTCGCTGCAGCTCCGGCGTGCGCGCCTGTGTTTGTCCGTCTGGGTTAGTGGACGTGAGGCTGTGTGTGTGCGTGTGTGTGCGTGTGTGTGCGTGTGCACACCATCACGCCTGAGTGCAGGCATAGGTCTTTTTTTTTCCTCCAAGCGCCTGTGTGTCTGAGGACAGGTGTGTGTGTGTGCGTGTGTTTGTGTGTGTGTGTGTGAGTGATGAAAGCATCATGAGCAAAAGAGGGGTGGATGTGTGCGTGTGTGTGTGTGTATGTGCATGTTGCTTTGTGGTGCATTTTCAAACCCATCTCCAGCCACCTCAGATGAGCCGAGGATTATAGAGTGACCCTCAATGCCTCCTTCTTATTGGTCTGGCCAGGGTGCATTAGGGCCGTCGCAACCAGCCATCCCACAATCCCTCTGTGCTTCACTATACCTGCCGACACCCACTCTGTCCCAGATCTTAAGATCTGTAGAAAATGAACAACTTATGTGTGGTTCGGCACCAAATCTTGTCAAAAAATACATTAGAGAAAAAAATTTAAAAGGAAAAAATAGCGCCACATCAAACTAGCCTCCAGATGACTATCACCTTTTTAATTGAGCACACTCCATCCCAGGCAATATAAAGGTGTTGTCATTAGTAATCATTGCTAAAATGACTTCAACATGTCGATGTGTTTGTCTCCGTGTTCCTCTCAGGCTTAAAGATGCAGTGGACCCCCGAGCACAGCCAGTGGGCCGAACAGCACTTCGACATATCCTCCACCACGCGCTCGCCGGCCCACAAGGCTGAGGCCTACAGGGCGGTGCCCGGCCACCTGCAGCGCTCGGCCGCCTACCAGTACGCCTGGGCGAACGACGACATCTCTGCCCTCACTGCCTCCAACCTGCTCAAGAAGTATGCCGAGAAGTACTCCGGCATTTTGGAGATGCCGGGCTCATACTCTGAGGCCTCTGGGGTGATGAACGGACGCAAAGGCGAGTCAGAACCCTGGCAGGACGGCGTCTACCCCATGAGCTGCATCCCCGAGGGAGTGTCCATCCGGAAGGGAGGGGTGGCGGCGGCCTCGGAGGTGGTGTCCGGTATGTGCAGCTCCCCGGGCCTGGCCTCCAGCACCCTGAGCGAACCCAGCTACTCCAGCAGCAGCTGCGGGAGCCACACCGCCACCGCCCTCCACACCTCCTCCATGGCCTCCCAGGAATACGCCCCCCCTTACGGCGGCTCATACCTGCACGGCAGTTATGGCTCCCAGTCCGCTCCAGCCCCGGCGCTCCCCTCCCCGCTGCACAGCTCCGGGCTCTTGCAGCCGCCCCCTCCGCCGCCCTCCCACCCCACCCTGGTCCCAGCTTACAACGGAGGCTCCCCCAACTTGTCTAGTTATAATTACCCCCCGGCGGGCTACTCGGCCCAGAGCTCAGTCGGCCCAGGCTACAGCCCTGGGGGGGCACCTCCTCCATCCTCGTACCTCCCCTCAGGCATCGCCGCTCCTACACCCCTCCCCCCCTCCTCCGCTTTACCTGGATACCCATACCAGAGCCACAACCTGACCCCAATCGCCCCAACGCCTCTCAACAGCAGCTCTTCCAACACGCTAAAGAGGAAGGCTTTCTACATGGCGGGCCAAGGGGACCTAGACTCCGCTTACGGTAACTTTGGCTACGGCCAGACCCGGAGCGCTGGCGAGAGCCCCATGTACAGGATAGCTGACAGCAGCAGCGCCAACGGCGGCTCCAACGGCGCTGGGGGTGGGGGATTCGACCGGAGTGCTGAAAAGTCTTCTTTACCTTTTAATCCTCAAAAGCAGTCCACGATGTCCTCAGAGCAGCAGCAGAGGAAGTACAGCAGCCAGGCAGGAGGCGGTCCGCTGACTCCACCGGCCTACGTCACCTCCACCCTGGGGGCTCCCGCTCGACAGATTCCCTCGCCAGCTTTACTTCCCCCTCCCTCAGTGAGCAAGGCGCCGATGACCACCGTCTCCACCTCTCCCACACGACGCCGGAGCCCACCTCCTCCTCTTCCACTTCCACCTCCTCCCGGCCCGCTGAGGAGCAGCTAAAAAGCAGTGACCCCCACCTTCTGGACATGGTCACCTCTGAAATTGTTCAGCAAGGGCCCCCGGTGGATTGGAGTGACATTGCCGGCCTTGAACTGGCCAAGGCCAGCCTAAAGGAGGAGGTCCTGTGGCCCATCCTGCGCCCGGACATGTTCAGCAGTTTGGGACCAGCCCCGCGCTGCGTGTTGCTGTTTGGCCCCCAGGGCAGCGGCAGGACGTTGCTGGGTCGCTGCCTGGCCAGCCAGCTGGGGGCCCCATTCCTCCAGCTCAACGGCTCCACGCTGGCCACCAAGTGGCTGGCGGAGGGGGAGAAGATCCTCCGTGCGTCGTTCCTGGTGGCGCGCTGCCGGCAGCCCTCAGTGCTGTTCATCAGCGAGGTGGACATGCTGCTGTCGGCGCACCTCAGCGAGGAGAGCCCCGTCCACCGACTGAAGGCGGAGCTCCTCGCCCAGCTGGACTCGCTGCTCATGGGCTCAGGCGACGACGGAGGCAACCAGGTGTTGGTAGTGTGCTCCACGAGCAGACCGCAGGACATGGACGAGGGGCTGCGCCGGTACTTTGCCCGAAGGGTCCTGGTGCCCCTGCCGGACGGCGGGGCCCGGCACCAGATCGTGGGTCAGCTCCTGGCTCAGTCCCAGCACAAGTACTGCCTGAGCGAGGAGGAGCTGGCGCTGCTGGTCCAGCGCACCGAGGGTTTCTCCGGCCTGGACGTGGCCAGACTCTGCCAGGAGGCCCTCGTGGGATTGTTACACGTCTCGGCACAGGGCATGGACATGTCGGGTATGATGCCCCGGGGGCAGGTCCGGCCCCTCACCTACCAGGACTTTGAGAGTGTCTTTTGTAAATTCCAAGCCAGTATATCACAGAAGGAGATCGACACGTACATTGAGTGGAACAAAATGTTCGGCCTGCAGCCAGTGAAAAGATGGATTCCCGCCCTTGAGAAGAAAACAGGCTTCCACAATTCCTCCCCTCAGGGCAGAAGCATTGTGCTGGAGGGAACGGTACACAGAAGGCCAACACGAGCCCAGCTGAGTTCTCACGAGCAGGGTTTTTAGACGCGCCAGGTCTGACAAGACTACTGGCAGGTTTGCGGTTAATGAGTAAGAGTTTTAATTTGAATGCTCGACACCCCAGACAGCCGGGCGTTGTTTACACATTGCAAAGCAAGATGGCTCCATAGGAGACGCCCCAGTGTCTGTGTATATAGATATCGTTTTGTTCTTGAGATTTAGTTGGCTATCCAAGTGCCTGAAGTGGTGCTTTTCTTTTTTTCCATTTATTTGCCTCACAATCTACATTCACGGCATGAGCTGACGACTATTAAGAGCTTTAAAACTTCTGAAAAAAACGGAGATCATCAGTCACCATTGTCGACTTCTTCATGGTCCAGCTCGGAGCAGCGGTCTTTCGGCGCGTCAGTAGTCTGGGCAGCCGACCCGCACTCGTCTCTTCTGACCCCGCGTCTGCAAAACAAACGTGACAAACAAAAACTCAGGAAAGCGTTTGTGAATTGTACAGGACCTCAAGACATCTGGACAAAAAAAAGCAGAGCGATGGGAGGGGGAGAATCCGAGGTGGTCTAGCTCATTTTCGGTTTGATGAAGCAGTGCTAGCTGTGCCTCGACTGGCTAGGATAAACAGCAAAGAGGTGAAAATGAATGTACTAGTTATTTATTTTCCTGACAGCAGGTGCTTAAGTTGCCTGTTTTTTACTTGACCAACCTAGAAGCTTATTTCCATTGCTTTTTAAAAAATGATCACATTTTAGTGGGTTTCTAAGAGACAACGCAGGTGTCGGGGTGTTGGAAGTTGTGTATTTATTGACACTACCACAATCAGCATTGTTTATATAAGCGTGGAGGCTCCATTGGTTTGTCAGCTAACTTCTGCACAAATCATCAGCTCGTGTGTCATGTTATTAACAGAGAGGAGACTCATTCTCTGGCATGGATGAACTTCATGCTTGAAACTCCTTCATAAAAGCTAAAGGAACAGTTTAACATTTGAGAAAAATCAGCAAAATGTGCTTTTCTTACTGAGAGTTAGATGAGAAGAACCAGGCAGCGCTTAGCGGTTAGCTTAAGGTTGACGTAAAACTAAGCTTGGCTCAGTGACCGCTAAACAAAGTCAGCTTCATATTTTCACTTGATTAATCCGTACAAAAACTCAATGATCTTACTTGCTGCTAAGCTAACTGGCTGCAGCCTTGTATCACAAGAGCGACCATGAGAGTGATGCTAAGCTAACTGGCTGCAGCCTTGTATCACAAGAGCGACCATGAGAGTGATGCTAAGCCAACTGGCTGCAGCCTTGTATCACAAGAGCGACCATGAGAGTGATGCTAAGCTAACAGGCTTTAGCCTCGTATCACAAGACTGACCATGAGAGTGATGCTAAGCTAACAGGCTTTAGCCTCGAATCACAAGAGCGACCATGAGAGTTATGATCAACATTCTCATCTGACTCTCAGCAGGAAAACAAATCAGGATATTTCATAAAAAAATATCAAACTACTCTTTTAGATCACAGTGATATCAATTTACTGTATCTCTTTGTGCCAATTAAATGTAGACTTAATGTCATTCCACAGTTTTCCCCCGCTGGGAATCAATAACGGTGTATCTTATCATTTATCTAGTTTACTAGATCAGCCATGAATTTTCTATTGGAAGTCGGTAAGCAGCCCATCTGTTGCGTTCCGGTGAAATCAGTTTTGTGTTTTTTTAAAGCAAGGATTAAGGGGAGCTCATTCCAGATATCCTCCCATTTTTTTAGTTGAATTTGATATGAGTCACAGCCTTGATATGAAAATATGGACTTTTTCTTTTGTTCAGCTACATTTCAACTGGATTATCTGTAACATGTGAAGCCACTCCTGTAATTTAAATTAGACGGCACATATTTTATATGCTTTTTACTAGTGTGGAAAGTAGACACTAAATTACTGTGTTTTCTCGAGGCCTCAGATAAATTCACAATAGTAATTCTGATTGATTGTCACCTCTTTAACGCAAATAGTAGTATTACACAGTAAGCAAAACTCTAAAGGCATATTTTATATCATGTTAAGTGGATCGGATAATTCTAACAAAACACCCGGCCCAGACTTTCTAATCCAATTCAAACAGCATTTCTTTCCTCTCGTCATCTGTAACTGTTGCTCAGTTTGAATTGTTCATTATTTACACGGATAAATGCATTTGGACACATACTTCCGTTGGCTGAAATGCTTTGTCACATGAGCGTGGAACTACTACTCTTTAAAAGTTCTTTGTCCCTGAAGGTTATCTGTCGCCCATTGTGTGTCGCGTTGGAATGTATTTTCTGTCCCTTCTTCGCTGCCCTTTGGCTCCGCTGATTGTGACACAGCAGAGCTTAAGCTGCTTTAATGTCCGTGCACTGAAGCATTTATTTTGCGTGTGATATTGTTTTGTTTTTTGTCGAGGTACATTTGCTTTGTCCGTCTGGTATTTATCCTGAAGGTGATGATCAGCCTTCACACTTTTCATGTACGTCCTCCTTTTTGTTTTTCACACATGAGCCATAAAGTGGGAGCCACATACTGTGTGTTCAGGCCCCGTTCTGGTCGAGGCACCGTCAATGCAGCACCTGACACGTGGTGGTGGTGGTGGTGGTGGTGGGGTGGTTTCTGCTGAGCATCAGCAAAATTGACGGTAAAGGCAAGACAGCCAGGCGGCGCAGCGGCAGCACAAGAAGGGGGGGAAGGGGGTGGAACGGTCCGTCAGAAAAACCAACCCTCAAAACAATCTGGACCAGTATTCTTTCTGTCAGCAAATCCTCTGGAGGGGGAGTAATCTCAGAGCAGAAAAAGCTCCTTGTGCACTTCAGAGCACATAACAGCAGCATTGGGCTCCACGGCGGAGGAGCAGAACCACTGGGAACCACGCAGTCATTCCTCACGCCTTCCGGGGTCCTTCTTTATGCGTCTTGACCTTGTGTATATCTTGCTTTCTTTTCTTTTTAAAAAAAATAAGGAGTTATTTTTAAAGCATTTCTACCTCATGGCTACAAAACACACGTGGTATTTGATTTATCCAAATGTCAGACATTTGGGGGGGGGGGCAAAAAAAAATGCATCAAAATAGAAACAACAAAAAAATTAAAAACAAAAATAAAGCGGAGAGAATAACACAATGACGTTTTTGCGCGGTCTACCTCAGATGGACGTACTTAAAACATTTAGCTGATGGTGCAACCGCATACGACATAGCCATGTGTATGTGTGCAAGTGTGTGTGTGTGTGTGTGTGTGTCAGAAAGGAGCTATAGGCTCGACACAGACAAACACACACAACACACTCGCCTGACGTCAAAAAAACACACTCACAAGCGATTTGTGAGAAGGGTGCAGTTGGGGGTCGATTTGAAAGGCGACCTGGAAATGTATAATCCAATACATTTGCTTTAATCTTTTGTGAACTACTGTGGTTGTGCGCGTGTGAATGTGTATATACGTGGGCACACCCTTCTGTTTTTTATTTAGTGTGTTGAATTTTATAAATTGTTAGTATATATAACACACTTGCACAACTTAAAAACAAGAGTGTAACGTGTTTTCTGTTGTACATACCTATACATACAATACAAATGCACCACTTGTTTATATGTGTGAATATGTTGCCATACTTGCAGTCAATGTATTTTCATGTAATCTTAGGTACAAGCAGCAACGAACGATTCATTAAAGACATTTTCTTGGGAGATTACATCTTGTGTGTCTTTTCTTTTTATACTTTTTTTTTCTCCTTGCGTCACGTTACGGCTCTGAGAGTAAAAACAAAGCAACAGGAAAACAACAAAAGATTAATTACTGAATTTATTTATCAGTAGAATAGGAAAATATATGTATTGTCCTGCCAAAAAATGGCGCCGCTGAAAAATCGTCTTAATGAGCCTTGAGTTAGTCACCCTTGTGTGCAATTATAAAATCATCCGTGTTGCGCAGGAAGCCGGCGCTGTCGCTTCTCTCATTAAAATGTAACAATTCATTTCTCTGGCTGTGGCGAGAGTGGCACCACCAAAACATTAAAGCATTAATTATCTTCCTCCATCACAAAGAATTTGGATTATGCGCGCGCTCTTAATGAAAATGATGTGCATTAGCCTGCTACTTTCCGAGGTATCATTATATGGCCGGCAGTGAGGTGTGGGAAGCCGCTGTATGGGCCTCTATAATTATCCGTGGAAACTGAAAACGCTGGGCGAGAGGTCGGGGTCAGCGAGCGCTCCTGTTTTCTTTATTTTCCCACTTTACAACATGCTATAGCCGTGATCATAAATTATCTGTGACACAAGCACTTCTTTCTTTTTTTAGTCCATCACATGCACGGCGAGAAGAGATGTGATCATCCCGCTCTTCTTTTCTCTAGCGTGTATGAATGCTGCTCTGGAAAGCTGCAGTTGGCCTCCACTCGGGCTACCGGGAATATTATCCGCTATTTTCTTTATTCCCAATCAGACTTTTGAGTTTTATTGGTCATTTCAAAGGTTGTGAAAGTATAAAGGACTGTCTGTCGCATCAAAGGCCTGTGCCCGCCCCGACCTTACGGGGTCATCCGCCACCAACGCCACCACGTTCCTCCTCGCGCCACAACCTCCGCTTCGCACCTCCTCGCGCGACAATTAAAATATGGTAAGTGAGCGGGTTTTTTTCCTTAAGTAGTCTTAAATGTGCAATCCGTTCAAATATGAGAGGAAATTGCCCACAGCTCCCACAAAAAAGGAAAGGAGAAGAAGAAGGAGAACATAGGTGGCAGCTAGGGGGGTAAAGCCAGAATAAATTATGCAAATAACACAAAGGACTTTACCACTTAAAAGCCTAATTTTCCTATAATCAGCACACTGTCGCCTTATATTGCCCCCCCCTCCCCCTCTTATTAAAAGTGACTGTTCTTTCGCCAGTCGTCAGATGGCTCTATCTGTCATCGGCCTGTGAGATGACTGCGGACCACCAGACTAAATGCTAAAGCATTTTGCCGGAGCTCTTAGATGATGGTTACATTCCCACACAAGTAATTATGCGTCGCAGAGTCCAGAAATACGGTTTAATTATACAGTAATCGCCCGTGATGGACACGAGGAAGTGGTGAGTACCGGCAGACTGCAATCCATCAATGACAAACCTCTGGCCACTTTTAATTCCTCCTCATTTGCATCCTAACCTCCACACCAAGTTGCGCGAGCGCCGTTAAATGTTAATAGGAGCTGTCTCGCCACTCAAAACGAACGCTTAAGCCATTTTTTTTTAGTCCCCCCACGTCTCCCCCTCACTCTTTATCTAGCTCCCACTACAACCCACTCCATTTCTTTTATTCCCTTTCCAAAGGCAGCATCTTGGTGCCGCTCTCTCTCTCTCTCACTTTGCTGTCATCCGTCCTCCCAATCTCTTCCTCCCTCCCGTCCTCGCAGGCCTCGCCGTGGAGGAGGCGCCGAGCGGTCACTGATGCACTAATTGGGAGCAACACTTACAGTTTTATCTCCCCCCACCGCTAATGGCGGTTCTGCGCCGAAGCAGCTCACCTTAGGAGGGAGGAGAGGGGGAGGGGTGGGGGGGGGGGATGAGAAATTCCTCCATGCAGACCGCGGCGCAGTCTCGCCGTGAGATTGGGCCCCGAAGCCATCCTGGTTAATCCCCATCCCCCAGGACCTCAGACTCAATTCCCAGCTTCATTAATTGAAAACGGTGGCCCTTTTTTCCCTTATTTTTCCATGTTTGGCATGAGTGAATAAAACAAGGAGCCATTTAAAAAAAGAAGAATTTTTTTAGAACATTTTTTCTGGTTTTGTTCCTGAAGATCATTACTTCTCAGCGCTGAATAAAATAAAAAACAAAAAAGTCTTATCATCTCTGTCTTGATTGTCTCACAGAAATAAACACACAGCGGCGCCTTGCTGACGCCTCGACTGTTTTTCACTGAATCATTTGAAGTCTTATCGGCCTTTATGGAAATAAAGCTGTTGCCTAATAAAGCGTTCCGCGGGCTTTGGGAGAGAAGCGCGTAAACACCTTTTTCTCCCGACAACGACGTCATTAGCGCATCTTGTTCAATGCTTTAAACATAATTGGAATCAACATCTATTGTTCGTGTGCTTGACCTTCCAATTGTTTTTCCGGCAGATAGTGAGACAAACGTTGTATTACCGCTGAGAGGGAATCTTTACTGGGAGAACACGTGCTAAGTGCCGCTGCTTTTTTATCGGGGGCACGTTGCTTCACTTTGAATGCAACTCCAGGACCCATATAGCTTTCTTATTTAAATCTCCGAACCAAGCCAGGATTGCACAGCCATGATTAAAAAGGTTATATCTCTGCAACCAGGTGTATTTGAATAATCGGGGTGTCATGATAAGATGAACAGTATATATGTTATGTATATACATATATATATATATATATGTACTGGACCAATTAAAAAGTTTCAGGGTCACCTGAAATAAAAAGCACTTCCAGGATGATTACCCTGTTGGAATTCTAATACTGTTAAAAATCCTCTCTGCAAAGGTGGATTTTGATAGAGTGAATAAAACCTTTTTAGAGATTTTAGTACAGACAGTTTAGGAAAATTCTCCAGAATTTTGGTTTTTGGACCATTGTTGCAAACTGTGCTATTTACCAACCTACTTATTTCACTTGTATGTTACTAATATTGTCCAATACATCTCATACATAGGTGCAGAATGGCATGTCAGTACGCAGGGCGATTTCTCTGAGACGGATTGGCCGATTAGCGCCTCATTGGCATCGTCAGAACCTACAGAATTGAGCCATTTCTATGAGATCGTGTTGTGTTAAAAAATGAAGAAAATCCAAAAGAACGATGGACATCTTGGATTGAAAAGTTCTAATCAATGGTATTTAATAAAGAAAAAGGCTTGCGCCAAAAAGTGAACATCTGAGCCGAAAATACGGCAGTTTCTCCAATCCACCGACCCACTGTGTACACTGTGTACACCAGGGGTGGCCACACTTTTCCGGCTCGCAAGCTACTTTCCAACTAACCAGGTCATGGCGATCAACCCTCCTCTGTGCCGGCTGACGGGGGGTTAAATGTGTCCGTCAGTAAGTGTAATATTCTGATAAATATCAGTGGTATTTAATTGATTATTTTCATGGGAATAAGTTAAAGATAAAATGCCTCTTCATGGTGTAGTTAAAATTAACATAAATAACTATTTGATATGAATATGTTAAAATGTATACATTATTTATGTTTAAAATGAGTGACTTAAAAATATCATTTCATTCATGAAAGTAATTCTGTTACGCGCGTGAGTTCATGACCTTAGAGTGTTTACACTTCCGGGAGGGACCCGGGAAAAAACAGGGAGGAAGAGAAAGAAGCGACACGTGGAGACGAGCTGAGGCTCCGGGACCGCGTGTGCCATCGGTGTGGAGTAACATCAGTGACGGACTGTGAACTGTAGTCGACCAACGTGTTCGGAGTGTGTGTGAGTCGGACTCCACACACGCCGTTTGTGTTTTGGTGAGCACACGGCGATTTCGCTTCCGGGAGCTAGCCGGAGCTAGGCTAACGCTGCCGGAGGACGTGTCGGTGCTGCCGGAGGACGTGTCGGTGCTGCCGGAGGACGTGTCGGTGCTGCTGGGGGACGTGTCTGTGCTGCTGGGGGACGGAGGTCTGGCCCTGCTGATTCCACATACCCACGGAGGTACGTTAAGAGGTTTCCATTACGAGCTCCAACTAAAGCGCGCCAACGACAATATACAAAGAGTGCCCTCAAAAATAAACTTAAGACCGTTGAGAAAAGGAAAAAACTATACCCTGGGGTTATATATTTTTATTTTCTATATTCTTTCTGATGTGCATTTTCTGCAGTTGCTACACTTTCTAAAACAGAGATCCTGCGTTGATTTGATTGATTTGTGTTTTATTGGTGTTATAGAAGAGTTACAGGTCAAGTGTATTCCTCTATGGTCTCCAACTTAAAGGTGAGGGTCACTCAGGACCCTACACTGATATTTACACTTTGAGATGTGACTTTTAGCATAAGACGTTTGATAAGAGGCTTCATCTTCAAGCACAAGGTGAGTTTTAATACACAAGGATCGCTAACTAGCATTAGCATTAGTTCCGGTCATCTCCCGCGGTAGACCGCGCATGCGCGATGTGACGTCGGTTTGTTATCGATGGCACGCGATCGACCGGTACTGACTTTGAGATCCATACTGAGCAACCCTGGTGTACGCTGTCTACATTAGCCCGGATCAGCAGCGTAGAACTTCCACCAAAGAAAAACGGCTTCTGGAAACGCTAAAAGATCTCATGGTAGCAAACAGGAAGTTGCCGTCTCATATAACTGTGCCACTAGCAAACCCTTTTTATGGCTAACTGCTAAGGTTGAAAAAATATAAATGTTATTCGTCTCTGGTTTAATGAAATTGACCATCACTGTATTCTTTCGTGATTAGTTTATTGTAAGTCGAACATTCCTTTGAGCCCCACAGGCTCTGTGGAGCTAAAGACGTTTTAAAGGAGACTAATGCTAATTTTAAGACTCCTACTTGGGGTTTCCACCGTTACACATTCACATGCATCGATGTTAGCAAAGCATGTCTTTTGTCTCGTTTTGTCTGTGTGAATATCCCTGTATTCACCTCCTTTGGCCTGCCCTCTGAACCAGACCAATCTTAGTCCACCGTCATTTAGCCCATGTTGAGAAAACTGAAAACTGTCTTGTTTCGAAATGC